ATGCGCCCCCGCCACTCAGTTCTGCACACCCCTCATACGCTTCGTGGCCCCATAGGAGCTCCGCCGAAGGTCCCAGTGGCGCAGTTCGCACGCGTCCCCCCATTCATTTCGGCACACCCCTCACACGTTTCGTGTTCCCATGGGAGCTCCGCCGAAGGTCCCACAGTTCGCACGCGCCCCCGCCATTCATTTCGGCACGCCCCTCACACGTTTCGTGGCCCCATAGGAGCTCCGCCGAGGGTCCCCGTGGCACAGTTCGCATGCGTCCCCGCCATTCATTTCGGCACACCCCTCGCACGTTTCGTGGCCCCATAGGAGCTCAGCCGAAAGGTCTCAGTGGCACAATTCGCATGCGTCCCCGCCATTCATTTCGGCACACCCCTCACACGTTTCGTGCCCCCGCTCCGCCGAAGGTCCCAGTGGCGCAGTTCGCATGCGTCCCCGCCATTCATTCCGGCACACCCCTCACACGCTTCGTGGCCCCATAGGAGCTCAGCCGAAGGTCCCAGTGGCGCAGTTCGCATGCGTCCTGCCATTCATTTCGGCACGCCCCTCACACGCTTCGTGGCTCCATAGGAGCTCCGCCGAAGGTCCCAGTGGCACAGTTCGCATGAGCCCCCGCCATTCATTTCGGCACACCCCTCACACGTTTCGTGGCCCCATGGGAGCTCCGCCGAAGTTCCCAGTGGCACAGTTCGCACGCGTCCCCGCCACTCATTTCGACACACCCCTCACACGCTTCGTGGCCCCATAGGAGCTCCGCCGAAGGTCACAGTGGCACATTCCGCACGCGCCCCCGCCATTAATTTCGGCACGCCCCTCACACGTTTCGTGGCCCCATAGGAGCTCCGCCGAAGGTCCCCGTGGCACAGTTCGCATGCGTCCCCGCCATTCATTTCGACACACCCCTCACACGTTTCGTGGCCCCATAGGAGCCCCGCCGAAGGTCCCAGTGGCGCAGTTCGCATGCGTCCCCGCCACTCAGTTCGGCACACCCCTCACACGTTTCGTGGCCCCATAGGAGCTCTGCCGAAGGTTCCATTGGCATAGTTCGCACGCGTCCCCGCCATTCATTCCGGCCAATCCCTCACACGCTTCGTGGCCCCATAGGAGCTCCGCCGAAGGTCCCAGTGGCACAGTTCGCATGCATCCCCGCCACTCATTTCGGCACAATTCTCACACGCTTCGTGGCCCCATAGGAGCTCCGCCGAAGGTGCCAGTAGCACAGTTCGCATGCGTCCCCGCCATTAATTTCGGCACACCCCTCACACTTTGCGTGGCCCCATAGGAACTCCGCCGAAGGTCCTAGTGGCACAGTTCGCATGCGTCCCCGCCACTCAGTTCGGCACACCCCTCACACGTTTCGTGGCCCCATAGGAGCTCAGCCGAATGTCCCAGTGGCACAATCCGCATGCGTCCCCGCCACCCATTTCGGCACACCCCTCACACGTTTCGTGGCCCCATAGGGAACTCCACCCACGGTCCCCGTGGCGCAGTCCGCATGCGTCTCCCTCACCCAGTACGGCGCTTCGTGGCCCCATGTGGAGCCCCACCGAAGTTCTCGTGGCGCAGTCCGCATTGTGTCGTTCGTCTTCGTTCGCGTTGTGTACCACGCCACTCATTTCGGCACACCCCTAGCACAGTTCGTTGCCTCACAGGGGTCACCACCGAAAAGGTGAATCACAGTTGCAGTACTCACACGTGCATATGGTTGGGTCCTTCGTCAGGCTAATTTTGACAGGGATGGTTGGGGGGGTGTCATTGGTTCTGGTTGGCTGCCAGTCGCCTGGGGGAGGGGTGTTTGTTCATAGAGAACAGTGGTCAACTCGAGAGAGAACAACCCACTCCACATCCACCAGGATGATTTTTGCATTGTTTCGTGAACGCTTGCGGACTTAGTCGACATGCCCCCGCGGCGACGACTGCGAATCGCGACGCTTCTGGTTTTACAACTCGTTTTATAAACCCTTCTTCGCTTGTGTAAAACAGTGCTCGCGTGTTTTATAACCGCGTTTTTGCGTGTATGTAATTGTGTTCCACACGCGCGATGACGCGATTTGAGTCATGTCCCAGGCCATTTCGTGCGCGGCAGTTTTTTTCTTGACAAGTTCTGGGTGTTTCGTAAACGCGTTTTGGTTTCTATAATAACGTTTGTCCCAGCCGTCGGCGGTTGTATGTTTCGCAAGTTGCCAGTGGCCTTTCTTGGGGCACATGCAGCTGACGATGACCGTCGCCCCACAGGCTCTAGACAGAAGCTTTGTACATATAACATGTGATGTGGTGGGTGTGGGGGTGGCATGGTTCGCCTTCATAAGCCCCCTCCCAGAAGGGGAAGACGGGGTTTGGAAGAGGAAACGCTCTAAACCACTCATGCCCTAAAGGGGTGCTGGGATTTGCAGTGTCCCAGGTGCACCGATAACCTCGGGAGGGACAGGGTGGTGGAGGGTCATCTTTTGAAAGGAGATGTTTCAAATGGCGATGTGGTGCAAATTATGTGGCGATGCAGTGCAAGCTATATGGTGCAATGCACAGGTGCGAGCTATGTGGTGTCAGCTGTGTGGTGCCGCGACGGACGTGGACGGGCCGCTGGGCCAACATATTGGTTTGTTTTTTCGAAGAGTGGGGTCGCGACAGACGGCAACGGGGCCGCGGGGCCCGCAGACGGGCCTAGTTCCTCAGATAAGAGACCCTGAGTGCAAGTAATGCTTGCATACTAACTCCTCCCTGTCGTTCCCCCAGACGTGGCGGTAGGGCAGGCCGGGCTTCTCGTGTCAGACCTCTCCATGTTTGATCTTGAAGGTTGGAATGTTATGTTACGGGCCTCAAACAACGATTTCTTTCAATCAATGCGGTGCAATCTAGGTGGTGCAACCGATGTGGTGCATACTAGGTGGTGCAATCCGTTTGGTGCAACCTTTGTGGCGCAAAGCAATGTTAACCAATGCAATGGAAATCAAGGTAGAGCAACGTCATGCGATGCGAAGCCATGCAAAACAAGGCGACGCAATAGACTGCGACGCAAAGCAATCCACAGCATTGCCACGCACTGTGAAGTTTTCGATGCGAAAGGGGGGTCCAACGGGGGTGGTGCAGCGGGGCGGCGGCGACGGACATGAACGGTGCCGCTGGGCCAACAGACTGGCTTTTGATTGGGAAGGATAGGGTGGCGACGGACGGGAACGGGGCCTCCAGGCCCGCAGACGGGCCCAGTTCTCCAGAAGGGAAGTATGAACCCCTGAATGCAAGTACGGTCTGGGGAATTTGCAACAGTGTCGCGGATGGAGGGCGGGTCGTTTTCAAATTGTGGTTCTCGCCTTCGCGCCGCGCATACTTGCCTTAACACCTTACATCAGCTTCAAGGATGGAGAGCGGGGGATTTCAAATATGGCTCTCGCCTCGGCTGCGCGCACATTCGTCTGCATCAGTTTCGAGTATGGAGCACGGGCGGTTTTCGAAATATGGTTTTCGACTTACCGCTTCGCACAGTCGTCTTGAAAGTTCGCAGCAGTTTCAAGAGGGCAGGGTGTTTGTTTCACAATGTGGCTCTCGCATTAGCGCCTCGCGCATTCGTTCTGAAAGCTCCATATGGATTCCTTCCAGACTTTAGGGGCACGGCCTACGAGAGATTATGTCACGTAGGGATGGTGGAATTTGTCACGAGGCGATGCCACGATTCTTTCCGTATCCCAGCGACTACATGAATGATAGTACGGAGGCCCGAGCGTGGGGGGGCAGGAAGCATACGACGCGAGCGAGAGACAAGCAACCGTAGCCTCTTGGCTCAAGCAAGCCTGACAGAAGCAAGACCACCCAGCACGGCCACCAACACACCCATCGCTGGGCTCCGCTGAGCGGGCCCGGGGGACGGGAGCGGAGAAACGACACAACTGCCCCCGCGCCCTCCTTGACGGCCAGCGAAAGCAGCCGCTACAGAAGAACGACACAACAAACAAAAACCGACAGACCACACCAGCGCGCACCTCTGAGCGGGCGCGAGGGACGCGGTTCTGCTTCTCCACTGCGCCCGCGCCCCCGCTCAGTGGCACGGTCGACGGTCCACGGCGGGAGGTAGGAGCAACAAAACGCAGTGCGCCCTCGCGCTCAGTGCGCCCCCGCCCTCACCAGCATCGCGACAGGGAGCAATGCGACTGGTGCCGCCATCAGAGTGTGGCGTCCGTACCTCGGTTTCCGCCCGAAGGACCTGCTTCGCCCCGAAGGACACGACAGTCGGTGGTGGCCCTACGTTTCCTCGTCGAAGGTCTGGTCGGCCGCCTCCTACAGTGTCTGCGCACACGGGAGGACGGGAATCTGGACGGCCGCCTTTGGGGGTGCCTGCGCACGCTGGAGGGCCGCCGGGATTGGATCCGCCCAGTGACAGTACGGTACAAGCCGCGGCTCCATTTTGACGTCCGTATGGGGGCCAGGAGTAAAACAGAAGGCAGCCCGACAGGGACAGGTAGCAGTAGCATGGAGAGCAACACCTCTGCGCCGACCTCCGCGAGCTGGGCCAGGAACGCTACTGAGGCACCTCGACTGGTACTAGAAGCAGCGCAACAGAGAGCGGCAGCGATGCGTTGACAACACCCGCGTCTGCGATTGGGACCAGCTGTGCAACAGAGATCAGCACGATTGCCAACAGCAACATAGGACAGATAACCGCGTCTCTACCCTGATCCGCGGGGTATAAACATTAGTTACGCCACCACCGCAAAAGAGTTCCACAACACTTTCAGGAATTCGCATGATCGATGTCCCAGGAATTGTGTTCAGGACGCAACAGTCCCGTTGATTTGCGGTGTTGAAGGCCCAGGAATTGCGATCTGGCGCGATTTAGGAGTGTCAGGACGCGGCTGTCACGATGTTCTGCAGATTTTATTTATGAGGAGCCACTGGGAGGGAGGATTGACTGCAACATCGTTGATGCGCCTTGCGTTTACACTGGTCCTCCCCCACCTCCGAGCAGTTGCCGCACAGTCGGCGCCCACCCGGGCGCGCCCCAGGAGCGCCAGTTGAGCTCGAGCAGCGATGAGAGCTCCGGGATGCCAGAGGCCAGGCATTTTGCCCCCTTTCCCGCTAGGTGAAGCAGGATGGGGAAACGCGAGGGGGAGGGAAGGCGGGGGGAGGAGGAGGGGGAGGGGGAGAAAGGGTATGGAGAGGGAAGACGTTCAGGAATAGTCGAGGCCGTAGGAAGTTCGAGGTTGTTTCGTGTGGTTCTGGGATGTTCCATGGGCCAGGCAGGAGGAGGTGGAAGGGAGGTCGGGGAGGGGGAACAGGGGAAGTTTCACGGGGCAGGTAGCGTGGAAAGGTTGTGGGTGGAGGATGAGGAGGATGAAGAGGAGGAGGAAGTGCGACATGATAAGGGACTTGGAGGAGGAGGAGGAGGAGGAGGAGGAGGAGGAGGAAGACGAGGGGGTAAAGTATCCCTGCCCCTGTCATTCTGCGCTCCCCCCTTCCCCTCACTTGTCCTCTCCTTCCCTTCTCCTGCCCTCCCCAACTCCTCCTGCTCATGCAGAAACTTCGTCCCTGGGCGATAAGACCTTCTAGAATCGGCGCGATCCGTGGAGAATCCCCAACACAATTTGTTCAGCTTCTCCGAATATTTGTCCTGCCCCTGTTTCCTCCTGTTGCTGTGCTGCTGCGGCTATTCGTCCGCCTTAGTTTCGGCGGGGGGCAAAAAGATGTGCAGTTGCTGGACAACAGCCCTGAGAAGCCCCTCAACCTAGGCAGCGGAGCCTGTGCCCAGCCCCCCCGCCCTCGCTCCAAGGCGAGGGGGCTGGGCGAGCAGGCTCCGTAGGGTAGGCTGGAGCCAGGAAGGGTATTCTAAGACACTCCATGTACGTAGGATTTTGGGGGCGGGTCCGACACGGTGTAAGGGGTTCTTGGAGGTTCTGGGATGTACCAGCGGCCCTGGCGTCCGTTGGCCAGATGGGAGGGGCGGGTGAACGGAGGGGAGTAGGAGTAGGAGGAGGAGGAGGAGGAATTCTTTTCGCAGAGATGCATCGCTTGAGACTGATCGCCGCGGAGACGTTGGCAGTGGAGTACGACGTCGGTTCTGCCCATTGTGATGTTAGCAGATTTTGGCGCAGTGCCCGTATGAGGCCCGCCTCGTCGATGTTAATTTCAAGGCCAACCATTTACGCCATGCCTATTTTACTTTCAATCACTCCACGGGCATCTGAGCTGGCCAGCCACGTTCGCAGTGGCTCGCCTAAACATCGGACGATAGCCTTCTCCTTTCAAACTCCCACGTCTGCGACTCCGGCTGCTAGAGTGGTCATCTCTCCGACTCTTGTCCGACGTGCTTTTCCGAGTCCAGTTTCAATGTTTGTCTCTCCGACTCCAGCTCCCACCTGTCCGACTCTAGCTCCTACGTCGCCGACTCTGGTCTTCGAGTCCCGCTTCCTCTTTTCCGACGCCCACGTCTACGACTTCGGAATCACAGCGGAATCACAGGGTCGATTTCCGACGCCAGCTCCAGCCTTTCCGACTCTGTCTTCCATGGTCGTCTATTTGATTTCAGATTTCATATCTCCAATTTTGGCGTGCATATCCGATTCAAATTCTCATACTTACGATTCCAGATACATAGGGCAGCTCTTCAACTCGTGCTCCCATGTCACGGGTTCCGACCTCTGCCCCGCACGATTACACGCGAAAATGGCCTCGATCGCTGAGTGATCTTGCTGGCGCCCTGTCGCCCACCCGCTGCGCCCGCCTAACCGCATGCCCCGGATGATCAAGCATTCCCACCTTAAGGTTTGAGTGTTGGTAATGTCCGGCAAACGCAGCTTTTGTCGACGAAGGAAAGCGGCAGGCCCGAACTTCATTATCACCGGGGAACGTACGAATCGTTGCCTGAATCTTCTTACCGCACCATCGTCAGCAGCATCATAATCATCGCCACGGCCATCACATCTTCCTATTATTATTACTACTACTACTACATTACTAGTACTACTACTACTACTACTACCACTACTACTACTACTACTTCTACTACTACTACTACGACTACTACTACTACTACGACTACTACTACTACTACTACTACTACTACTACTACTAGTACTACTATTACTATTAGTATTACTTCTACTGCGACGACTACTACTACTACTTCTACTACTACGACACATTACTATTATTACTACTTTTATTATTAATACTACTCCTACTACTACTGCTACTACTACTACTACTACTACTACTAATTTGACTATTCCGACTACCACGGCTACTACGACTATTACTACTACTACTACTACTACTACTACTACTACTACTACTACTACTACTACTACTACTACTACTCTTACTACTACTACAATTATTCCCAAGACTCTTATTACTACGACGACTACTAGTACTACTACCATTTTTACTCCTACAACTACTACGACGACTATTTCTAATACTCCTCCTACTATTCATTTTATTATTATTCCTACTACTACTACGACTACTGCCAATACTACTACGACTACGACTACGATCACCATTATCCCTACTACTACTACTACTACTACTACTACTACTATTACTACTTATGCTACTACCGCTGTTTTGTCGACGACTACTACTACTACCCTTATTACAGCTACTTCTACTAGTAGTACGACTACTACTACTACGAGTACTAGTACGACTACGACTTCGACTATTTCTACTACTACCACTACTACTACTTCGTCTACTACTACTACTACGACGACGACGACGCGACTATTACTACTACTACTACTACTACTACTACTACTACTACTACTACTACTACTACTACTACCACTACCACTACTACTACTACTACTACTACTACTACTACTACTACTACTACTAGCACTACTACTACTACTACTACTACTACTACTACCACGACTACTACTACTACCACCACCTCCACTACTACCACTACTACTACTACTACTACTACTACTACTACTACTACTATTACTTCTACTACTACTACTACTACTACTTCTTCTTCTACGACTACTACTACTTATTATTACTACTACTACTACTACGACTACATCCCCGACTACGATTACGACTGCGATTGCGAGTACGATTGGCACGGCTACATCAGCATTGTCAACTACCTACGACAACTACCTTCCCTCTCCCCCAACTCGCGGATTTTGTTTTACATACGGGGTGCACTATCGTTGGAAAATGCCCGATATGAACACCACCTCACGAGGACTTTAACACCAACTACTACTACTACTACTACTACTACTACTACTACTACTACTAGTAATACTACTACTAGTACTACTAGTACTACTACTACTACTACTACTACTACTACTACTACTACTACTACTACTACTACTACTACTACTGCTACTACTACTACTACTACTACTACTATGACCATCTGCTCCTCCCACCCCTTCCCTTCTCCCTCATGATCATCATGATTGTGATCATCAGCATCATCATCATACGTAGCAGTTCTGGCTCAAGCCATGTTGGCCCAATATGATGCGATCAGGACACTATCTGGTCCCATGTGGCTGGCTCTAGCCGTCGCGTCACTTCTTGGGTCAGATTCCAAATCGGCCAAGTTTTCAGCGAGGCCTGCGGCCACAGGTCTTTCATTCCATTTCCTTTCCGACACCCGGCCCCAGTCGCCCGATTGGGGGCCCAGCTGCGGCGGGCTCGACCAATGGCAGGACGTGGTGGTGGAGCTCGAGGTGCCGCGCGCGGCGGCGGCGGCAGAGGATGCAGCGGATGCGGGCGGCGAGGAGGTGGTCAGCCAGGCGTTGGCGACGCAAGTGGCGGAGGACCACAGGCCTGGGATTGCCCAAAGTGCGGAGCCAAGAAGAACTGGGGTAAGTGTCGCAAATTGACTACAGGCGGTCCATAGGAAAACCTGCCGAAATCTTCAACACATCTTCGGCCGGAAACTCAAACTCCAAACACATGCTAAATAATCTTGAATGGGAAATTCAAAACCCAAGACAACCGGATAACATCGCAAACACAAAACCTGGGGAACACTCAAACACATAAGAACTGACAGAAAATCTTGAAGCCGAAACCTGGGAAAAATCAAATCCACAAGAGATTTAGAAACACCTGAGGTTCAAACCCGGGAAAAGCTCAAACCCATAAGTTCCCCCCCCCCAGAGTTTTTCTAATGATTACATATTTTGTAAGTGGTTTTTTAACAGGATTTCGTAAAAGTTTGTTCAGAGTTTTCAAGCGTTTCAAATTGTTTGGAGTTTGTTTCCAAAGTTGTTGTTGAGTTGTCAGTCGTTTAGAGTTGCTCCAGAGTTTGTTTAAATCGTTTGTTCTTCAAAGTTTGTTTCGAGTTGTTCCGTAGTTTCTTTGTCTACAGATTGTCCCATAGTTGTTTCGTAGTTTTCCCAGGTTTCGGCTTAGCGATTCTCTGGCTTACGCCACACCGCCGACCCCCTGGGGTGCTTTGTTCGGGTGCGTCGTTTTTTCGGCGTCCCCCCAACATACTTATACTATATGTGCGTCGCCCCCCGGGGGCGATGCGCGCACCGAGAAATCTTATAGTACATGCGTCGTGGCGGGCGCATCCCGGCCACACCGCTCGGGAAACGATATACTACAAGATGGGTATACTACATGTTTGGGTCGGACGCGCGCCTCCAAGGATAACATCTAGTACTAGTATGTTTTTGTGCATCCCATTTTTTTTGTTTTTTTTTTTTTTGCGGGGACTGCCCTGGGCAGTCCGGTTGCAGATGCAGGCTTTGTGGTGTACGTGTGCGTCTCCGGGTAGGGGCGGGGTGAGGGGGGTCTCAAAGTGTCATTCTTGGGGGTTCCTAGGGGCGTCTTGGGGGCCTCTTGGAAGCCTGCGGCGGCCTCTTGGGGCACTCTTGGGGCCCCCTTGGGGCTCCAGAGGGCGGAAAGGTAGATGTTTTGAATTTTTTGTGGCCCTCTTGGGCCCCTCTTGGTGCCGTCTTGGGGCCCTCTTCTTGGGCCGTCTTGGGGACCTGTTGGGCCCCCTTGGGCCCCTCTTGGCGCCGTCTTGGGGCCCTCTTGGGCCGTCTTGGGGACCTCTTGGGCCGTCTTGGGGCCATCTTGGGCCGTTTTGGGGCCGTCTTGTAGGCCTCTTGGGCCGTCTTGGGGCTGTCTTCGGGGCCTCTTGGGCCGTCTTGGAGCGTCGGGAAGCCGAAAAGGCGAAAAGACAAAACGCAAAGAACAACACAATGGGAAAAAAACAAGAATTTTAGCCTTTTTTCGGGGCCCTCTTGGGAGGCTTGTTTGGGACCTCTTGGGCCGTCTTCGAGGCCTCTTGGCCCGTCTTGGGGTCATCTTGGGCGTCTTGGAGCGCTGGTTTGGCATCTCGGGGCCCTCGTGGGCTGTCTTGGAGGCCTCTTGGGGCCTTCTTGGCCCATCTTTAAGTCTTTAGGCTTTCTTGGGCCCAAAAGAGCCCCTGAGTCGCTCGTCGGGCCCCCCCCCCCCTCCAAATCGACCGGGCCGGGCTCCCGGGGGAGGGGTTGGGGAGGGGGGGCATCTCACGCGCCGATGATCCCCAAGGGGTCGGCGGATGACGGGAAGCGTCTTCGAGGAACGAGAAGCGAGCTGGACGTTTTGGCTGAATCCTCCTCATATCAGTAAGAGATCTCTTAACTATAGGGGGTGGCGGGGCGCACGGTATACAGGCTTAGCGGATTCCTCGGGATGGCGATTTTACGTGAGACATCTTCACAGGAATGAAATATTCGCGACATCGCGTTTAACAAAAACAAGCGTTTCGCTCGAGACATCCTCGAAAAGTTGATGACAGCGAAATTTCGCCGTCTGTGAAAATTTGCGTTTCGCTTGGGACATCCTCGAAAAATGAGATGACGACTGAAGTCTTTAACTAACTCTTATGGTAAGAATTGCGGTTTCGCTAAGGACATCCTCAGAAAACGAGCGGCAGCACGGCGGACCAGAACGAAAAGCACGGCAGAACATTTGCACTTCGATAGGGACATCCTCAGAAAAATGAGATGTCCTCAACGTCGTCTTGATATCGTTCCCGAAGTACCTCAATATGACGAAAGGAGAGGCCAAAAAGCACGTCACTATAGCTGTCATGGCGATTGGGGGACTTCCGAAAATATCGATTTCGCCAGGGACATCCTCAAACAGTGAAAACATACACCAGCATCGACTTGAAAACTGTTGTTCTAACATAGTTTGGACTTTGCTTCTGAAAAAAAAAAAAATCCAAACGGCCCAAGGCAGCCTTCAAACCATGTCGATATCGGTAGGGGCATTCTCAAACAATTGATGCGTGCGACATCGCATCGTAATGATTTTAGGAGGGCATCAGGAAGCAACATAAGGCCACAGCGTGGCTCCAAGAGCGCCGTAAGGTTGCTGAAAATAGTGATTTCGCTAGGGACATCTTCAAAAACATAACAAATCGAACAACATCGTTTTGAAAACTGCTGTTTAAACATCGTCTTGGGATCGCTCCTGAAAAAGGCTTCTAGATGGTTCAAGCCAGTCATCTAAAAATGACGATTTCGCTAGGGACATCCTGAAACAATGAATGTGTGTAACATCGGGCTGTAACGGTTTTGTAAGGCATCAAGAAGGCCACCAAAGGCCCCAAACAAACCCAAATTTGACCCCCAGGAACGCCCTCGAGACGATCCAAAATGGCGATTACACCTGAGACATCCTTACAAAAATGAAATGCTCACAGCATCGATTTCATCAAAAATGAGCGTTTCGCCTGAGACATCCCTTAAACATGGGAAGCCGCGAGTTCGACATATGTTCAAACACTCGCGTCTCGCCTGCGACATCCCAACAAAAATGATATCTTGTAGTGGCGTGTTTACTACCTCTCGTGTTACAAATCGCGCTTTCGCTACATACATCTTGACAAAAATCGGGCGGAGCATGGCCGGCGAAAAAAAAAAACAAGGCAGATACTGAGCCGTTCTGCCGTGCTCTTTCGCTCTTGACGTCTAGTATGCCGTGCTCTTTCGTTCCTGGGGTCTGTTCTGAAATCCTCCTTGTTTTTTTTGTCCAGTGCTCCTTCGCTCTTCGGGCCAATTCTGCCATGCTCCTGGCCATTTTTTGTCACACTCCTTTGTTCTTGGGGCTTCTGATGCCATGCCCCTGGTCGTTTTCTGCCGTGCTCGTTAGCTCTTGGGGCATATTCTGCCGTGTTCCTTCGCTTTCGGGGTTTATCCTGCCGTGCTCCTCCTGGTTTTTGTCTTGCATATTTTTTCTTTGGGGCGTATTATGCCGCATTATTGCATCTATCTTGCCGTGCTCCTGAGCGTTTGCGGTCTATTCTGCCATGCTCATGGTCACTGGTCGCGTTTTGCAATGTTCTTTCTTTCCTGGCGCCTATTCTGCCGTGCTCCTCAGCTCTTGGGGTCTATTCTGTCGTGCTGGTGTTTTTGTTTATATCATGCTCTTTCGCTCCTGGGGCCTAATTTGCCGTGCTCCTTCGGTCTTGGGGTCTATTCTGCCGTGCGTTGTGTCTTGTTTGGCCGTTGTCTTTTGCGATTGGGGTTCGTATTTATAGGTTTTTTTTGCCGTGCTCTTTAGCCCTTGGAATTGATTTTGCCGAACATAGAGGGGCACGGCACCACACGCAAGAACACGGCAAAACAGACAGAACACACGGGAACACGGCACACCACACAGGAACACGGCAACACACGCGGGAGCATGGCATATCAAGTAGGAGCATGGCAGAACACACAAGAGTGCGGCAGAGTGCACAGGAGCACGACAGAACACACAGGAACACGGCAGACCACGCAGGAACACGGCAGAACACACAGGAACATTGCATATTTCGTTTCACATGCTTGGTGGACGAAGCGACTTTTCTCAAGGAGTGAGTTGGAATAAAGCCCTGAAGATCGTCCTAGATTGTCTATTATGCCGTGTTCCTGGTTTTTTCTATCGTGCTCCTTCGCTCCTGGGGCCTATTTTGCCGTGCTCCTTCGCTCTTGGGGCTATTCTGCCGTGCTCTTTGTCTTCTTCTGCCATGGTCCTTTGCTCTTGGGTTCCGTATTCCTGGTCTTTTTCTGCCGTGCTCTTTAGCCTTTGGGGTTGATTCTGCCGAACATAGAGGGGCACGGCGGAACACGCAGGAGCACGGCAAAACAGACAGAGCACACAGGAACACGGCAGAACGCACATGAGCACGACAACGCACGCAGGAGCATGGCAAAACAAGCAGGTACATGATAGAACACACGGGAGCGAGGCAGAACACACAGGAGCACGGCAGAACACGCAGGAGCATCCGTAGCCATTTTGGCTCAAGCTGGCTCTGTGTTTCGCGCGGTATCGGTTCTCGTACTCGCGACAGGCGTTTGAGAGCATGGCGACAGTCGCTACCTGCCAGGCCTTGGCGGGTATCGTGGGTGCACAGCCTGGCGCTGCGAACGTCCTGGCCGCGGCGCTCGGTGCGGCCGCGGGCGGCGCTACGCGCCAGGTTGGTGCAGCAATGGTGTCGGCCGCGATCCGCTCTTCTTACGTCGGCGCCGACGGCGTGCAGGAGGAGGTCGCTGCCAGGCTGGCCATGGTGGTGCCAGCGTTCACCCAGCTGGTCAAGGCCGGGCCCACCGGGAACGCCGTGATCAGCGGTGGCATGAGGGCCATGCGCAATTCTGGCCTACACGTCGACATGGGGTGTGGTGCCGACGGCCTGCCGCAAACTGGCCGCGAGGCCAAGCGGAGGCAGCCAGCGCGGCGGCCGCAAAACCAAGGTGAGCGAGCAAGTGGAGATGAAGGACATCGAGTACGCCCCAAATTGCAAGGCCACGGACGAGCTGAAGGAGAAGTCCTTGCTTATGCTTGTGGCGAAGCAGCTGGGGGAGCCGACGGAGCAGGCCAGCGCGTGCGCCCCAGACAGCAAGGCTGGGAAACCGGAGGTACAGATCTCGGACTTGTGCTTTGGAGACGTGCTGGACCTGGAGGTCGGGGGGTTCATCGGGGAGCTGTCCGTGTAGGTGGGCACGCAGACGGTGGACCAGGACGAAAGCGAGCCTGCGCTCGAGGCGAATGGCGCTGGCAGGAGCAAGCCGCCCGCGCTGGCGCCGAGGGCGTGTGGCGCCGAGGCGCTGCTGGAGGCGCCTAAGGGGGCCTCGAAGGGTGTGCGCTGGGCTGCTGTCCTCGAAGAGATCACCCAGCAGGAGGTGCCCGAGGTTTCGGCGGCGGCGGAGGCCCCGACGGAGGCCCAGCAGCTCATTCTCGGCGCCGCTATGCTGGCGAGGGAGGCCCTCCAGCGTGGCGACATCGCCGAGGGCTTTCGGCTGCTGGAGGCGGCCCAGGTGATGCGCCTCAGTGAGTGAGTGAGAGGTGGCATCGGTGACGCTCGCGCTTGTTGCTCTTGTGTGAGTGGGCTCGCGTAGCCCCCAGTGCTCTTTGGGGCTCGGCTTCTCTCGGGAGTTCTGTCCCGCCTGGCCCTGCCCGTAATTTGTTGTGCACGCCCCAGCGCCTTCAAGGCCCCGTCTTTAAACTTTAAGCTTTAAACGCGCAGGGGCATGGCAGACGAAGCAGGGACATGACACAACGCACAAGAGCACGGCAGACTACACAGCAGCACGGCAGGACACGCAGGAGCACGGCAGACCATGCAGAAGCACGGCAGAACACACAGGAGCACGGCAAATTTAATTTTACATGCCTGGTGGAAGAAGCGACGTTTCCCGTTCTTGTCCGGTCAGGTTTCTCGAGTGTTTGTTTGATTTGATGTTCCCCAGGTTGGAACTTCATATACATGTAATATAGCATAATTATAGTATAATATCGTATAGCATAATAGCATATACTATAATATAATGTAATGTAATATAATGTAATAAGCTATGATATAACATAATATAATATATTTTATTATATATGTATATACATATAGACATATAGACACATGTAAATACATATATAAATATATAGAAATACATAGATGTGTTTGTGGGTTGGAGTTTTTCGCAGTTTCGGTGCTTGAGTTTTTTTTCAGGATGTCGCCCTCCCCGGTTCTTGGTTTCAATATTTATTGTTTTTTTGTTTCGGTTTTTTGGCCCGAAGTGGTCGTGGACCGCTTGTAGTCGCAATTCACGAGCCTAAAATTGGGGCTCCAGGCTGGCACATTTGCCGCAGCTGCGGATATGAATGGTGGGAACAAGGATCCGGTGCAAGCTCGCGGTGGAGTGGCACGTCACAATTGGGCGCCAAGGAACGACGCGAACTCAACCAGTTGCGCAGACATGTCAACAAGCTGGACGGTGGTATTCAGTCCGTCCCAGGCGGCAATGCAGGTTCACCATCAGCAGGAGGAGCGCAGTCACAGGCCCCGATGGACGAACGAGCACGGCGACTTGGAAAGCTACGTAGCGATATCAAAAAGCTCGAAGGTGTTCAGGGGGCCTCCAAGATCCTGGCTGCCAAGCGACACGAGGCTCAGCAGTCTAAACGCGAGCTCTCCGAGGAAAAGCCCACGACTGTCCAGCTCGGCGAGCTGGGCGGGAGATCGCGACCGCCACGCAGGAGATCGAGAGCACCCAGGCAGATAATTGCGAGCTGGATGGCAAACGCGAGCAGAGCAAGGCCACGGGGAAGGAGCAGCAGGCCCTCATCGACAACCTCCTGGCCAAGGACAAGCGCGAGCGTGACGGAGCTCCGCGCGAAGGGGGGTTCGGCGCAGGCATTGGGCCTGCGGCGCCCCCATCCCTGGCGGCAGTGCTCGGCGAGGGCGAGCGCGCCGCCGCCTTCCTGTCGGCGCTCGGCCAAGCCTCGGGCATGCTCAACAGGGGGTACGCACAGCAAGTTGAGCAGCATGTATGAGAGCTTCGGCGCCTGGCTCATCGAGTTGCCTCGGCAGGAGCGGCAGCGGAACTCGACGGCGGCGGCGAGCAGGAGCTCGGGGAGGAAGACGCCAGCAATATCCTGGACAGCATGGATGAGGAGGCCGTTGAGGAGGCCAGCGCGGCGGCGGCAGGCGCAGGCAGCGGCGAAGAGGGCGCGGGGGCCCTGCCCGAGGGCCCCGCGGCCCAGGCAGCCGCCAAGCGCAAGTTTCGGGCCCAGAAGCTCCTCCAGGGGCTCCGCGCCGCGGGGCTCAGGCGGATGGGGGGGGGGTGGGGGGGCGCGGTTAGCAGCCCGACCTTCGGCGGCGAGCCTCGACGGAAGCGGTCGGGGCCCCTTCGCCGCCCTCCTCGGCGAGCAGCGGGAACTTCAGCCGCGCGCCGCGGCGCTGGCGCGCGTCGGGGGCGCGTTCTATCACAAGGGGCACCACCTCAGCGGGCGCCGCGCCGTGGAGCAGGAGCAGCGGCGCAGGCAGGCCGGCTGGGGCGCAGCGTTGGCCCCTGGCGTCGCCGCCGAGGGGGCTTCTCAGCAGCGCGCGGTCAGAGGCGGCGCAGGCGTCGCAGTCCGCCCGACTGGGGGGGCGCGCGGTCCTGGCGAGCACGGCAAAAAGCAGAGCTGCCACGTCTCCGATGGCAGAGCGACCGTGGCACGCGTCATCGGTGTGGTGCCAGGCGGTTTCCTGCTCGGCTCAGGCTACTTGGACAGCGATGACGTCGGCGAGAACACCGTGGCCGTGCTACAGGGCGTCGGGGCCCTCCTCGAACGCACGGGCAAGCCCTGGGTTTCTTGCTGGTGACTGGAGCGTCGAGCCCGAAAGATTTCATGAGCGGGCTTGCAACTGGCTGCGCAAGGTGGGCGGCCACGTTGTCGACGCGGGCGCGGGCGCATGCCGGCGCCCCCTGTCCACGGCGCCGCCCGTCCTGGACTGGTTTATCGTCAGCGCGGAGATGTTGGATAGGGCCCTTGCCTGCAAGCGCCTCGACAAGACGGCCTTGGGGTGCGCCGATCTGTGCAGGTCACGCATGGTGGTAAAGCACAGCCTCACCAGCCGCGGGGACCTCGGCCAGTCGCACAGGGTCAAGAGCCCGATGGCGTTCCCCAAGCTGCGGCCCTTCGGGCCGCTGCAGGAGAAGCACTGGGACCACAACTCAGCGCGGGCGCAGATCGACCAGGGCGAGGGCCCACAGGCCATGGCCGGCGCCTACCAGGGACTCTGGGACTCTGTGCAGGAGTCGAGGATGAGCTCGTCTGGGTTCACCAGCTCGACCCCGATGAGGCCGATCCCTACTGAGGACGCGGGGGCCCGCCCAGCTTCAGCCACGGCTCGCAGGCGCGCGGCGGGCCCATCAAAGGCCCCGGGGCCAGCTACAAGGGCAAGCAGCTCATGCAACTGAGCGGCTACTTCACCCAGGTGCTGCTTCTCGTAGGAAAGCCCGTCCAGGACGGCCGCGGCCAAGACGCGGAAGCCCGGCTCAAGCTGGGCCTGCCCGTCGGGGGGCTGAGCGTCTGCAAGCCGGGGCGCTCGAGCGCTACAAGCGCGTGCTTGGCCGTCGGGCGCGCAGCTGGGTCTCTAAACCCCGCGGCCCCAAGTGCATCGAGGACGGGGCCGAGTGGATGGAGAAGCGCGTGCCCTACATCTTCCGCATGCTGGGGTTGCCGACGCACGTCGCCGCGGGCCTGGTTCAGGACTGCGAGGGCCGCATGCGCACAGCGCGCGACGTTTGCTCGTCGGCATGGCGCCGTGGGGCCCCAGGAAGGACTGAGCTGGTCTCTCTCCTTCGGCAGCTAAGCACCGCCCATCGCGACGACTGGGGGGGGGATCCACGGGGCGGTCGACGACTACAGGGAGTCCACGCGTTGGTTGGTGGAGCGTGGCGACTACAACAGGCCATTACCTGACTCCGCGAGCGCCGCGCCTTCCGCCCGCGGGGCCCGCGGCGACTGGGAGCCCCGCCTGGGCCAGGGCAACGGGCTCGACAGCCAGCTCCCCGAGCCGCGGGCGCCTGAGCTGTGCGCTGCGCTTGCCCGCGCCGCGCCCGACGATGGCCGGGGCGCTACCGAGGCCGGCGCGCAAGGAGTGCGGCGGACATTTAAGCGTCGGGGCAGAGGCTGGCCCCCCCGCGCCCACGCTTCCGACCCAGTCCAGGACCGCGAGGAGTGGATGGACTTGTGCACGCACTACGCGCTCGCCCGCGTCAGCCAGCACGAGAGCGACGGGGCGGCGCAGCATGGGCAATGCGGGGATGCCGAGAGCCCAGAGTCGGGCATTGGGTTGGGGGCCCCATCTGCGGAGGGGGTCAGCGTGATCCCAATCCAGGCCCCTGGCAGCTTCGTCGCAGCGCTCGCAGCGGCCGGCGTAGGAGGCTCAGCATTTACGAGCACCGACGCAGCACCACGTGCGGCCACTTCATCTGCAGCTTCATCGGGGGCTGGAGCAGTAGCCGCATCCGCGGAGGGTATCAGCGCGATCCCAACCAAGCCCTCATATGCAGTTGAGCACCTGGACGGCGGCGAGGGTGGCGGCAGCGCGAGCGGGCCAAGCACGGCGAGGCCCGTCGCCGATCGCGCAGCCGCCCGCTGCGCGCCGTGGAGCTGCGCGAGGAGAGTTGGGCGGGACCAGCACCTGTTCGCAATGAGTACCACCGCAGTATGAGCGACCTGGAGTCCAACGACCCCGACGCGTGGGCCGTCGTCGAGGACGAGCACTACGGCTACATTCAGGCCGTCAAGCTTTCCATGCTGGAGGACGGCGGCCCGCCGACAGACTCCAGCGACAGCAGCTGCGACGGCAGCAGCGGCAGCGGGGGCGCAAGCGGCAGCAGAGGCCGCCCAGGTACTGGAGGAGTGGGCGGCGCAGGCCAAGGAAGAGGCTGAAGTCGAGGAAGCGGCCTTTACAGCCGTCCGCAGCCAGGGCTTCAAGTAGTGAGTTCGCAACTCCCTGATCGCGGGTGCTGGGGGTCTGCGCGCCCATCGGCGAGGCCTTCGAGGTTGGGCACCTGATGGTGAGTTCCATGGCGCCCCTGCTCATGGCCCCGACCGCGTCGAGGTCGTGGCGGCGCAGTGGTCCTCAGAGGTCTGGGGGGTCCGTCAGGGCAGCGACCGCTTCCGTCCTCGCCGCCTTCCGGGCGACGACGAGGCGCTCCCCCGACCCGCGGCCGACTGCGTCCGCAGGGCCGCCAAGACCTTCAGGCGCAGCACGGGGGTCGGCAGAGACCGACGCAACCCCGGGAAGGCCGCCGACCTCAGCGACCAGCTCCTCGAGGCCGTCATCGGCTCGGCTTCGGCATGAAGTGCGAGGGGCTGGGAGGGTGGCCCGACGTCATCACCGACTCGCTGGTGGTCATGCTTCCCAAGCCCCATGGCGGCTTTTGGCCCACTGGGCTGCTGGGTTGGCTTCCGCGTCTCCGGAGTCGCGTCCGTCAGCCCGACGCGAGGCGATGGGCTTCCCAGATCGACCCAGGCGTCACGGGTTCCTTTTGGGGCGGCCGAGGGCGCGCGGCCGAGGAAGCCGTCTGGTGGCAGGCCCTGCGGTCAGAGGCCGCGCGCGCACGTGGCGAGGGAGCAGTTGCCGCCCTCATCGACTTCTGGAAGGCGTACGAGTTGGTGGATTTGGCGATCATCCAGGAGCGGGGCATCTTGGCAGGTTACCCGCGGGGGCTCCTCGGCATGGCCCTTCACGCTCTACTCAGGCGAGCGGCGGTTCATGCTGGTCGGCAGCGTCTCCAGC